TTTTCGACTTCTTCTGAAAACTACCTTGTAGACCTCTCTTAGGTTTGTTCATTTCATGTTGATATCTTCAATTCTCTAATTTTGGTGAATATTTTTGTCATTTTTGGTAAAAAGTGATATTTTCGACTTCTTGTTAAAAACCGCAAGTCCAATTGCTTTGATACTACACATATAGGTACTACATTGGACCTCTCTCAGATTTGTTCATTTCGTGATGATATCTTTCAATTCTCTAATTTTGGTGAATATTTTTGGTAAAAAGTGATATTTTCGACTTCTTTTTAAAAACCAATAGTTCAATTGCTTTGATATGACATATATATATATACTACATGTAGACCATTCTCAGATTTGTTCATTTCGTGATGATATCTTCAATTCTCTAATTCTAGTGAATATTTTTGTCATTTTTGGTAAAAAGTGATATTTTCGACTTCTTGTTAAAAACCAAAAGTTCAATTGCTTTGATATTACATATATAGATACTACATGTAGACCTTTCTCAGATTTGTTCATTTCGTGATGATATCTTCAATTCTCTAATTTTGGTGAATATTTTTGTCATTTTTGGTAGAAAGTGATATTTTCGACTTCATGTTAAAAACTCTAAGTCTGATTGCTTTGATACTATACATACTATTGTTCATTTTCTAATGATGCCTTCAGTTCTTTAATTGAAATGTGCATTGCTAACAGCGGAGCTATCTCAGCCAATAGGCTGCTTGTTTAAGGTGTTATTTTAATCTTTTCTAATGCCTTTAAGTTTCGCTGTAGTCATTGACGCCTATTCAAGAGTATTGATGTTTATTGCGACTAGCGTGAATGGGTTAGCTTCGTTTAGACAATGAAATGTTGCCGCTGTAAACAATGTTAAACTATTCTTCAAATGCCCAGTTTATCTTTTGAAAACAACTAATTTTTTAATTTACAAACAAATCATGCCACTTTCCCATCAAAATCTAAGCCAAAAGATTGTACAACAATATTGGCAAATCTCTTCCGCACTGAGTTCAATAACATTAACATATTTAAATGAGCTATGGTAATTTGAACACGTTGGCATCATCCATTGTTTTCATTGGTTAATTATCGTTTCTACAGCATCGAGTGTTGAACATGCGATCAGAATCATTCCCTTACGATGAAATAAGTTGAAATTTATTTGCATTTCATAACAATTCAACGAATTTATTTTTTGTACGTTATTATAATCATTACTAGGTAATAATCAACATTTGTAAAACACAGCATGACCAGATTGCGCTTCCACGATCATTTGCTACTAAGCAATGCAGTTGTGTTCGTTGTTATTTGAACTTCTTTTAGAATGTACTTTCGTTACTAATAATGTAATTGTATTTGGCGCACAAGCTTTGTTAATGTGTTTTTTTGGAGAAAGATGCGCTGTCTACTTTTTAATCCAGCTAGAAAAAAAATGTATACAATTTAGATTAGCTTATGCAATAGTTTCTTTCGTTTTGGGTGGTCCAACTGCCGGTGTTGAAAATCGGCGTAGGTGGATTTTTCAATGAAAATATAAGCCTCCTAAAAATATTTGATGATAATTCTTTGAAAATTTGAACTCCAAATAAGGGACCACCAGCCGTCAAACCGTCCAGGGTGATTTTTCGGATGGGGGAATATACGGCAGAATCCGGTAGTTGCCGACATCTTCTAGCGTTCTAAAAAATAAAATGTTCAGATTAGCTGTTAGCTATATTTATCAGTCATTCACCATCACAGTCATGTACAGGCAGCGGAGTGAAAATCATAGCAGTATGACACAGTCAAGACGTTTGGAGAGTCTGGTCTCCAGGCTACCAGATCTGCATTATTCGCAAACATAAAGTGTTTTACTGTTTACACCAAGGTAGCCTGCAGTGACTAGATCTATCGATTCGCATTTGCAGGATTACCATGTCCCCCATTGCAGACATCGCTGTGGTCTGGGCAAAACTGAAAGACCAGGACAACACAATACGAGGTTTTATACTAGAACGTGGCATGAAAGGACTTTCAACACCAACAATTGAAGGCAAATTTTCACTGAGAGCTTCAACCACTGGGCAAATTGTGATGGAGGATGTGGAAGTGCCCGAGGAGAATATACTACCGAACGCATCTGGACTTGGGGTGAGACTTTATAGTTTATTTTAAATAAGATAGATAGATTAGTTTCTTGAAAATTTTTCTTGTTTTCTGTTTTCGACATGTCGTTGACATCTTTTTAATGTCTCACTAGTATCATTTATATCACAGATATGTTTTTTTTCCTCGTCATCATGCACATTCTGTGATAGAACACATCCCAGCTCTTTCAGTCCAAATTTTAAAAAAAAAATATCAAATACAACACTGCTATTTTGACAATTTAAAATAAAAAAAACATGAAAAAATGTGCGTACATGTACTAATCAATGTATGAGAACAAATTGACGTCCTTTCTGACTCACTATGATTTTATTCACCAGGGTCCATTTGGATGCCTGAATAATGCTCGTTATGGTATTGCATGGGGTGCCCTAGGAGCAGCTGAATTCTGTTTAGAAACAGCGAGGCACTATACACTTGAAAGGTAAGATAAAGTGTCTAAATACTCATAAATTGTGTCATAAATTGTCACACTCAAGAGCCTTGATGGGCTGTTTTTAGGGGACTTATAATTCGGGCTCCGTCCGTCCGTGTGTATGTGCGTCCGTGCGGAGTCATATTTCAGAATCCTGTGGAACGATTCCGTTCATTCTTTGCATGTGCCTAGTACCTTATGCGGGGCATACAGGACTCATTCCGCCCAACCTCCCGCTTTTATCGCTTTTTTTCCGACCGCTTATCGTTTAATTTCCGACCTCTCGCTGCTTTCCGACCGGAAACCGACCGCTTTTTTTTCGCTCGCTCGCGTTCGCTTTTGTTCACTCGCTCGCTCGCTTTTGTTCGCTCGCTCGCTCCTGCTATGGCTGGCTTCAGAAACATCGTCCGCTTGCCAACCGACCGCTGGAGTAACAATGATCGTACATTGTATGTATAAACTTAAGTTTTTATTCGTAATAAATTTAGGTTTTAATGACGATTCAAAACACAACGCCTATTGCTTCTCTGTTTTGGAACAAAGACACCTTCAAATCACTTGACACATTGTAACGTTTGCTACGCAAGTCGAACTGTGACCTGTATTTACATATTTACGTCCTTGTGTGTGTAGTTCAAGCAGCTATATAACTGGTCAATCGCGATATGTATTGAGTACTAGTATTTGTGTGTTGTGTGTGTGTTTTAAAAAAATATGGGTACATATGAAATACATTTCGTTATGAATTATTCTTAATATCAATTTCTAAATTATCTTGTCAAAATCAGTTTTTTCCCAGGGTTTTTTCCCCAAAACGAAAGAATTTCATAATGTCGGGAACGAGAAGTTTTTTTTTATTATTATTTATTGGGAACGGAAAGTCTTTATCGCAGTGCTTCGCCTCGGTTGACAATGAGCTCTTCGGGTCGCTAAAACTGTATGTCCACCTCTGTTGGGGTGAACATTTGTATTATTATACTGAATAAATCTTAGAACAGAAATGGTGGCACTCAATCATAGCAATCTTCCAGGTCATCGTTAGAAAGATTTTCGGAGGCAAATTTAATCTTGAAAGATTGCAGGAAATTGACCCTTACCGATTCATATTTATGAATTAATCGGGATTCAGGTACCATAGTGTTTGTAACAGAAAAGGAAAAAAAAACGCTTTCGCGTGGGATTTTTCATGCAAACATTGTGAATGGTTCCCCGATTCCTTTTTAACTTTCAATTTTTCTATTAAAGACGCGGCAAACCCTGCTCATGACCGGAGACGTCGTCGAGATGCAGGTGCGATTCCTCTTAGCAACGCGTTCTATTTATTTCCAAAGCGT